CCCTTAATGGTTCTTACATTGGGTTTCCCTCCATTATTGGAAGAAACAAAAGAGAGGTCTTGGGCTATATCAAGGAGAGGGTGGTTAGTATGTCCTCCAAGCTTTGCCTACCTATGCCATGAATGTATTTCTGTTACCCCTTGAGATCTGTAGAGAGATTGAAAGGGTTATGAATGGGAATTGGTGGGGTTGTGAGGGTGAAGGCGGAAAGGGTATAAGGTGGAAGAACTGGGAAGCCTTATGTGTACCCAAGAAATGAGGAGGTATGGTGTTTAGGAAATTCTGGGATTTCAATATCTCCATGTTAGCAAAACAGGCTTGGAGACTGATTCAGTTCCCTAACTGTTAGGAATAAAGTGTAATGGTTTTGATATATCAAATATGTATTTGTAGAACCCCCAATTTTGTTTTATAGGTCTAGTAGAGTCTTAGAACATGATCGGGAAATTATTTAAATTGCAAAAGAGAAAAACAGAGGAAGATGCATGAAAATAGAAGAAGAAGATATCAAGCCGAAAATCAAGAATTTGTCTGGAAAAAATGACAAATTGAAGAAGAAGATGAATGATATGAGTTTCACGTCAATGCTACTCAAAAGATATCCCAGGAGAATTTTCGTTGAAGAAAATTAAGATTGAAAGATTGCATGAATTTGACTTGGAGATCAAGCATTTATGGAAAGAAAGAAGTACATCAAAGATGATTGGAGATTTAACCAATAAGCTATATGAACGAAGTGGAAAATGCTTAATTTATTATGTGAAATGGCTCAAGTTCAAATCTCACCATCAATAATTTTACAAGGTAAAAATTAATTAAGCCTGATGGAGTTGGGCGAAGCAATTGCATTTGGGAGCTAGTTTCACATGGGAATCAATTCAAGTTGGGAGAGCTCATTTGGGAGCTAGTTTCACATGGGAATCAATTCAAGTTGGGAGAGCTATTCAAGGGAATCAATTCAAGTTGGGAGAGCTAGTTTCACATGGGAATCAATTCAAATTGGGAGCTAGTTTCACATGGGAATCAATTCAAGTTGGGAGCCAATTTCAAAGTCAAAGTCAAATAACTCAAAAGCCAATTTCGAAGTCAAAGTCAAATAGCCAATTTCGAAGTCAAAGTCAAATAATTCAAATGGGAAGCAATTGAAGCACCTGGAGCCAATTTCGAAGTCAAAGTCAAATAATTCAAAACCCAATTTCAAAGTCAAAGTCAAATAGTCAATTTCAAAGTCAAAGACAAATAATTCAAATTGGGAAGCAATTGAAGCACAGGAGTAGATTGGGAGCCAATTACAAGTCAAAGTCAATTGGGTGCCAATTATAATGGAGACACCCAATTACAATGGAGACACCCAATTACAATGGAGAAATTCAAATTGGGTGCCAATTACAAGTCAATTGCAATTGAGTGTCAATTACAAAGGAGAAATTCAAATTGGGAGGAAGTTCAAAGCCAGTTTGAAGTCTGAGAACACCGAGACGTGAGAATGAAGAAGATGAAGGAAAACTTACAGTAAAAATATTCTCACAAAGAAAAATACTAGTCTAACTAGTATGAGATTAAATTGAAGAATATTTTTTAATTCCCAAGAACCACTTCAGAGCTGATCAGAGAAGCCATTCTACACAAAACTGAGACCCAGATATTCCCAAGAAACGTGAGAAAACCAGAGGAATATCAGATGAAGTTTGGGAACTCATTTGCATGAAGTTGAAGCTCTACCAACGGCTAGCTTATCTTTTCTGACAGTTTGCCAGAAGATAAGATAAGATCTCTGACAAAAGATACAAGAATTCAAAAATGAGATCGTCTCTTTCCAACGGGCAGATTCTCATTACCAGCTATAAAATGATGAAGATATGAAGACTTGAAGATAGAGCAAGACATACGAAATAGAGCATAGAACACAGAGCAGAGAACACGAACAAAGAGCTAAAAGAGCAAAGAACAAAAATCTCATTTGGTACAGAGCATACCAAAAGAAATCTTCTAGTGAGAAGTGAGAAAAGAAAAAGAACTCAGAGAGCTTCAAAGAGAAATATTCTGAGAGTTCTGAAACAGGGCTAAATAGAGCATAAAAATCAAATGCTTTACTTGATACATTCAAAGAGAGAAAAACACTCAGAGCATTCAAGAGAAATCTTTCCAGAGTGTTTCATCTTCATCAAAGAGACTAAGCGCATCATTGAAGATCAACTACAGAGTCTCGAAGTTGGAAGCAAGACAAAACTTGTTTTGGAGCAAAACAAGAAAAGGGAGGAAAGTAGCACGGAGCTGTGGAATCCTGGATTGTCACACAGAGCTGTGAGATCCGAAGCAGCAGTGTCAGAGGCACTGTGCGTGATTAGTGCGGGCTTTTTGATCAAAGCACTAGATCACGGGATACGTTTCTATCAGAGTGTGGAAGACGGGGGGGGGGGGGGGGGGGGGCGGGGGGGGGGGGGGAAGTAACGCGGAGTCGTGAAATCCTGGGATAGTAGCGCGGCCACGTGAAACCCGAAGCAGCAGTGTCACTGGGCGTGATTAGTGCGGGCTTGGTGATCAAAACACTAGATCACGAAATTCATTGCATCTTGGAACTATGAAGTGGTGGATATAGTGAATTGATCTTGGAGATAAGAGCAAGTGGAGTAGGAGGATTACACCACCTCCGAACCACTATAATTGTCTTGTGTTCTTTACTGCTTTCTTTACTTACTGCTCTTTACTTGCTCTACACGAGATATAACTCACACAATCTCACACACTTTATCTATATTTATTTCCGCTGTGCACCATACTCTAACAATCTAGTTAAGAGTTTTGGTTTATCTCTGGCTTAGCAATTGTTGTGCTGTGCAATAAATTTTGAAAGTCTATTCACCCCCCCCCCCCACCCCCCCTCTAGACTTTCACCTTACCTCTTTTGGGACCAACACTAACTCCTTGGCTTTTAGGCTCTATAAAGCTAGATATTATCCTAGAGGTTCTTTCCTTGATGCCTCCTTAGGAGGAAACCCCTCGTTTATTTGGCGTAGCATCTTTGAAACTCAAAGGGTTATTAAAGATGACAGTAGATGGAGGGTGGGTGATGGGTCTTTAATTAAAGTTTGGGGGTGATCCTTGGATTCCTAATAACTCTGTTCCTTTTATTCAAACTCCAGTAATTGATCAGCTTAGAGACATCACTGTGGATTCACTTATGAATGTTCAGAAGACTGATTGGGAAATTGAGATCCTCAACAACTTGTTTATTGAAAAGATGTTCAACAAATTAAATCCTGAAAATTCTAATAGCTGAGAGGAAAGTGGAAGATAGAATCATATGGAGGGGAGATGCAAAAGGACTGTTCACAGTTCATAGTTGTTACAACATGCTCCAGTATAACTACCAAGATGTTGCTGTTCCATCTTGGACCAAGATGTGGAACCTTAGATTGCCACCCAAGGTGAAAGTGTTTTTCTAGAAATTAAATTCAAATGCTCTACCCACCTGCGGCATGTTGAGAACAAAACAGTTTCAGATTCCTACTATTTGTCAGCTATGCAATCTCGAGGATGAGTCCAGTTTCTACTTATTTATGCGTTGTAGCTTTGCAAGATCCTATTGGGACAATCTTGGAGGTATTAACTATACCAATTTCACTTCATTCCAGGAATGGAATGAGTACTACTTTAAGACTCTTGAGGATGGAGCTCTCTGCAATCTCATTATGGTCTGCTGAAGAATCTAGGAAGTGCGAAATGATAAAGTGTGGAACAACAGATCCACCACTCCTATTCAGGGCTCGATGGGATGTTTTCTTAATGGATGACTCTCCTGTTTTCTTAATGGATGACTCTCCTGTGAAACTGTTCCGCAGAGATGAGTCAGATCTATATGGAAATGTTATACTTATGATAGAAAATGTAATACTAATCAAAGATAAATTAATTATATTTATAAGGGAAAATGTAATACTTGTGAGGGAAAATATAATATTTTAATCAAAATGTAATATTTAGAGATTGGAGAATTACTTATTAGAAAAAAGTGTAATACTAATAAGAGATAAATTAATTAATTAATTAATTGATTGTTAGTTATGAAGAAAAATGTGACAATTTTGATGTAAAAATGTAATAATTTTAAATTAAAATGCAATATTAGATGTTGAAGAACAACTACTTATATGAAAAAATGTAATATACTTATAAAAGACCTTCCTCACGTAACGAATATGGATATGTTAGATGGTGTTATAGGAGATTTGCCTTAATAATGCCTCCAAAAAACCATGTTTTAAGGCGGAAAGTTGTGCTAAAAGAAAATCCAATATATTATGACCTAAAGCATTCCTTTCAAAAATGTTTCAATACGATTGCAATTATTTTTTTCTTTTTTTTTTTCTTCATAAAAGTTGAAAAACTAATTACGGTAGGAAAAGAAAATTTTAACATATCTGATGTGTATCCAATTGGATAGCATCATATGCAATTGCACATCATGACATAATTAGATGATCATTCATATGAACTTTACAAAATAAATAAATAAAAATTATTCAATGTTCCTATCTAGATATCATCATAATTACGTTTTAGTACGTTAAAGATATACATTTGGTAGAGTTTGGGTTGATATAATGCAATATGTACTAGCGGCAATAACATCATCATTACACTACTCCAAAATCAAAATGAAATAGTATTCCAACACCAATTGACCAAACCATATTAAATTTTATGCAATAGTACATATTACTATACATTTTCTCTTCTTCTTCAGTAACCTTATACGTCTCTCACTTTGCCAATCCCTTCACGGGACTTACATGCCCTTCTCCTTTTTCTTTTTTGTTTTTTAAAAATACATTTTTTCTCTTTTTTTTTTTTTTGAGTAAACATTTTTTCTCTTATTTATACTTGAAGTTTGTATTTCTTTGTTTATATAAGCACTTTAATTTATTCAATCTTTCTCTATTAATTTCCATATTCATTATACGATACAATTCCCATCAATCAACTCAAGTGTACTTAACATGGATACCTACTCAGAGACTGCCGGAGCTGTTGCCGTACAAGCCCCTTGTGGTGCATGCAAATTCCTAAGGAGGAAATGCATCCCTAGCTGCATCTTCGCCCCCTACTTCGACTCCGATCAAGGGGTTACTCGCTTCGCCGCCATCCACAAGGTGTTCGGCACTAGTAACGCCTCCAAGATTCTCCTATGCATCCCTGCCAATCTCCGCCGCTGCGCCGCCATTACCTTATGCTACGAGGCTCAGGCAAGGCTCTCCAACCCAGTTTACGGTTGCGTGTCAACACTTCTCGCACTGAAGCAACAGGTTCAATTTATCTCTCGTTTTCATAAACATATGAGCGAGTTAATTCCCAATTTAGTCCTTTGACTATAGTAATTTTCTCGATTTAGTCTTAAATGACTTTTTGTGCTTAATTGGGTTTTGGAGTTCGATAGTTTTACCTAATTGAGCCCTCTGCATCTGTTGTTGGCGGTTAAAATCAAGGATTAAATCAAGAAACACCAGTATAGTACGTAGATAATTAAATTGGTTAAAACCACTATAGTTGATGACGAAATTGGGTAAAGGCACTATAGTCAAGAACTAAATTGGGTATTAATCGAGAGAAAATTACCAAGTTATATATCCTAACAAGGGATTCAATTAGATAAAATCATAGAAGTCCAGACTCAATTAAGCACAAAAAGTCATTTAGGACTAAATCAACAAAATTACTATAATCAAATGACTAAAATAAGTATTTGCTTTTTGCACGATTTTTAATGCAACGGAATAAATGTTATGGAGTACAAACTTTCTAATTTTGCCCCTCAAAAGTAAGTGTCATTTGTACAAAGTACAATTGTACTTACCTCATTAGTCTAGAAATTTTAAAAAGTCAAAACGGTAAATTTAGAAATGTAGAATAAGTATGACCACGGTTCGGTTCAAATTGGACAGTTCGAACCAAACTGTATACGGTTGGAACTAGATTGGAACGGAAACCGTAAAGTCGGTTCTGGTTCTGGTTCCAAATGAAAAAAAAAAGATAATTTTTTAAAAAACTATTATTTAATTAATTTTGAAATAAAAATTATTTAGTTAAAGTTTAACTATTATTTAATTAAAGTTAAAATGTTAAATAACAATTTAAAGTTTAAGTATAACAATTATTTTTATTTTTTAGTTCAACTTTGAAGTTTAAATATTTCATACAACCATTTTAGAAAAAAAAAATCATTTTGTAAAAAGTAATTAATTGTTCAATTTGGACGATTTTAAAAATAAAAAATAAACTTTTTTTTATTAAAAAAAAAATCCATTTCAAACAGAAACCGGAAGTGGAAGGTTCGGATTCTAGTTCAGCCGATTTCGGAACCGGGAACCGTAGGTTCAGAACTGAAACCGAACCGTGGACATGACTAATTGTAATAAAATGATAGTTATGTTAAATTTTGAAAAAGATAACACTATTTTGAGATAGATTAAAAAAGTAAGACGTTAAAATGTGACGGAATGAGCATCAATGAGAAAGAAAAGATCCATGGATGTTGGTTTGTTTGTTGTACAGGTGGTATCTCTTCAAGCGGAGCTTGCAATGGTGAAAACACAGATAATGAATAGCAGATTTGCAGTGGAAAATGGGCTTCAGACTTCTCAGCAGCAGGAGGAGCCAAACAACGTGCTAAGCATAAGCAACTTTAGCTCCAATTTCAACCTTATCGGAGAAACCACTTACTCTGATTCAAACTGTTTTGATCCAATTGCCTTTAACAATCACATGTTCCGTTAAAGCTGTGTATTTCATTCATGTTTTTCTTGTCTATGTAGTTTATACATTTTTAAGCCCATCTTCAATTTCTCTATTTGTGAACATTAAAAATATGTAATAAAAATCCACATTTTGTAGATAGAAAACCTTCTGATATGTAATTAACCATCAATTTTGTGTTTTAATCTCTAAATTCCGCATCATAAAGCAACAACCATCGCCTTCTTTAGATCCAAAAGAAGAGGTGTCGAATGTTACCTTCTTCAAATTCAAATGAGGCAACCCTCAGAAGCAACACCATCGCCTTCTTTAGATCTAAAAGATGTGACAATAATCATCACTACTTTCAATCCAGAAGCGGCAATGACCATTGCATTCTCCAAATCTTAAAAATGTGATGCCGCAAATCTAAAAGAAGGTAATGACCACATTGCCTTCTTCAAATTTAGAAAAAATAATGATATAATAGTTACTTTTTCTAGATCCAAAAGAAAGCGATGAACATTTTGCGTTCTTAAATCTAGAAGGGTTTCAAACATTATAGCCACCAATTATTATTATTATTATTTAAATAATAACTTGTACTTTACATCCTCCCAGATGCTCTATTGGGCAGGGATATGGGGGCATTTTTCATTTTTTTTCTCAACAACCAATTGGTTGGAAATGTCACTCGTCACTCTAGCAATCAATCGTTATACGCTGCACCATGGCGCGCGCAGCAATGTGCACCTGCGCCTTCCAAAACGACGTCGTTTTGGGAGGCGCGGAAGGGAGTTGACGTGATTATGTGTATTTGTTTATATCATTATGTGTATTTGTTCATACAATTATGTGTATTTTTTATACAGTTATGTGCGTTTGTTTATACAATTATGTATATTTGTCTATATAATTATGTGTATTTTTTTATACAATTATGTAAACGACGTCGTTTTGCATCAGGGCGCAAAATGCAATGCGCGCCCTGGTGCACGTATTAAATTACCGTCTATCAATTGTTAGCCATAATCAATCATTGCTTTTGAAGAATTGATGGTCCAGGTTAAGAACAAGTCGAGAGAGAGAGAAAGGAAATTAATTTCACTTTTGGCCCAACTTTTGAGATTCTATCACTTTTGGTGTATAATTTTAATTTTTTTTATGAGTAAATACCCAAAATGGTTCATCGACTATAGCTAAATTCACAAATTGGTCATCGACTTTCAATTTCAACTAATTAAGTCCTTAACTTTGCAATTTTGACACGATTTGGTCCTCCATCTATTTGATCGTTTGTTGACCGTATTCTTTGAGGATATATATGTAATTTCACGTGCAAAGCTCAAGAGAACGCTTTTGTAGGTGACAGTGTTGTTTCGGAGGGGGAAGTGCTTCTCCGCCTGCTGCTTGGGGATCACGAGCCGGTTCAGCTTAGAGAACGCTCTTGGAGGTGACAGCGCCGTTTCGGAGGGGCAAGTGCTTCTCCGCTTACTGCTTGGGGATCACGAGCCGGTTCAGCTTTCCTACATCGCTTGGAGTCACAGCTTTCTCGAAGAGCCGCTTCAGGGACTTCGGCAATCTATCTATCAAAAGCTATAATCTCTCCGGCATGGGGTGCAGCGCCGACCTGATCTCGATCGATCTCGCACGTGACCTCCTGTACGTGCACCCCAACTCTAATGCCCTGGTGGTTAGCACAGAGATTATTACGCGCAACTATTACAAAGGATCAGAAAGAGCTATGCTCCTCCCTAATTGCCACTTCAAAATGGGTGGCGCCGCGATTCTCGTGTCCAACAAGAAGCGCGATTCGGGTCGGGCCAAATACCAACTCATGTACGTGGTCCACACGCACAAGGGCGCCGACGACAAAGCCTACCGCTGCGTTTACGAGCAGGAAGATCCGCAAGGGAAAGTCAGAATCAACCTCTCAAAATACCGCCAGCGAAGCCCTCAAATCCAACATAACCACAATCGGCTCGCTCGTTTTCTTGGTGTTGGAGCACCTCCTCTTCCTCTTCACCCGAATCAACCGGAAAATCTTCAATCCCATATGGAAACCCTACATTCCTGACCTCAAATAGACCTTCGAACACTTCTGCATCAACGTCGGCGGCCGCGCCGTCATCGACGATCTCCAGAATAACCTGCAGCTCTCGTCGGAGCACGTGGAGGCCTCCAGGATGACGTTGCACCGGTTCGGAAACACGTCATCTTCTTCGCTCTGGTACGAACTCAACTACATTGAATCCAAAAGGGAGGATGAAGAAAGGCGACCGGATAGGGTAGATTGCTTTCGGCAGTGGATTCAAATGTAACAGTGCGGTCTGGAAATGCAACTGGAACCTTAAAAAACCGATGATGGACTATGAAATTACATATATATCCTCAAAAATCACAGTTAGCAAACGGTCAAATAGATAGGGGACCAAATTGTGTTAAAATTGCAAAGTTAAGGACTTAATAGGTTGAAATTGAAAGTCGAGGACCAATTTGTGAATATAGCTATAGTTGAGGGACCATTTTGGGTATTTACTCTTTTTTAATTTTTGATGCCTAACTTTATTATTTTTATTAGTTTTGATCTTTTCGGCAAAAATTGACGGTGAAATGTTGTTGAATTTTATATTTTTAGGAGTAAAATAGTCATCCCAATGAAACATCTTCAATATCTAAACAAAATCACTGTAAAATCATATATGTGGGCGTTTGATCGATGAAAATAATGGGGAAGACGGGCAGAAACTAAACAAAGATCTATCGGATTTATATCGTCGACGATTGATAAACCCTTCTTTTTCTCTTAATATGATTTTTCTTTTGTTTAGATATTGAAGATATTTCTTTGCGAGGAGGATTTTTCCACTAAATATAAAATTCGACCACATTTCACCGTCAATTTGGCCGAAAGGAGGAAAATTGATAAAAATAATCTATATATATATATATATATATATATATATATATATATATATATATATATATATATATATATATATATATAATTAAAAGTAAAATCCTCCTTCTATCATTTTTCCGCCCAAACTAATTTTATTGGTCAAATTATTTAATGTAGACTATGTAATAATTAATGATGGTAATAAAAATCCTTGAAGAATATAGAATATTCCGTGCAACACACATATAACATTCCTTTTAATGTAGCAGAATATAGAAGAACATTTAATTATGGTTATATTATTATTGTGTCTCACTGTCCTTTAAATGACTTAATGTGAAATTCATGAATATATATATATATATATAAACAAAATTCTCCTATTCCATTTTTCCTCCCAAATTTTTGTAGTAAAGCTTATTTGGTAAGTGACGGTAAATATGTTACCGGTAATAATAATATTAGAATAACGAATTGCAACAATAGTTGTATTGCCTGAGTGTCTTAGTATAGAAAATTGTCCTTTGCTAGTTGAGGAGAGCCCCATTTATACTAAAGTCCTAACGGTAAAAACATGGGACATAAATGGGGAGCCTAAGCTTTTAATTCATTCTCATCAATGGTGGCTTCAATGGTGACTTCAATGACAGTAAAGGAGGCACCTGTTGGTATTCTGTCCGTTGAGATTCTGCCCGTTGGTTTCCATGTGGTGCCGGGTCGGATGCCCAATTGTGATCCGAGTCGGGTTCCAGCCCTATTATCCTGTCACCAGTCTCCCCTACTCCTAGTCAACGGATGTGTTTGAGTTGACTTGGGAGTAAAGCTGAATCTTATCTTGATCTTGTGTAGAATCCTGATTTATTTAGGATATGTGATTTTATTTTCCAAATCCCTGATTTGTGCTTTCTAAATCCTTTCTTGCTTCTAAAGATATTCACTTAACTTTTTTATCGCAGACTCCTCTCCAATATAAACCCTTGCCTCTGAGCAGTTTGAGAGCACCTCTTCATCAACTTCTGCCACCGCTCTGTAAGTCTCCGCTGTCATTACTTATTTTATCGTTACGATTTTTTTTTATGTATTAATATATATGCATATATATACATGTCTGCCCCATTTTTTTTTTCTTTTTTGCGGCCGAAGAGTCAGCCGGCCGAGGTGCCGCACCTCGGCTTGTGGCTGAGGCGTCGCCTCAGCCATTTGGCCGAGGCGTTGCCTCAACCCTTTTTTTTTTCTTTTTTTTTTTTTACACCTCGGCCTGTGGCTGAGGCGCTGATCACAAGTGTCCGACCCGACACCGCATGGAAACCAACGGGCAGAACCTCAACGGACAGAATTCCAACAGGTGCCTCCTTTACTGCCATTAAAGTCACCATTGAAGCCACCATTGATGTGAATGAATTAAAAGCTTAGGCTCCCCATTTATGTCCCATGTTATTACCGTTAGGACTTTAGTATAAATGGGGCTCTCCTCAGCTAGCAAAAGGACACACTGTATTTTCTATACTAAGACACTTAGGCAATACAACTATTGTTACAATTCGTTATTCTAATATTATTATTACCGGTAACATATTTACCGTCAGTAAGTAAACGTCCAATGAAAATTAATTAAAATCTATTAATTGGTAAATGTCTTTGTGTATTTCGTTCATTTTTTCAGAAAATGAACAAGAAAATGAGTAAAATTGTATACTTGAACATTTTAATTGTTATATATATTAAAAAAAAAAACATTTTATTGTTTTGTTTATAATATAACAACGTTAATTTTAAATTCCATACAACATAAGTTTTGGCTGTATTCAGTGATGGTGGGCGGCAGTGGGTGATTGGCTGATCCACTGCTGCAAACGGAAAATGACTTCCTCCAAAAAAAAAGGGGGGGGGGGGGGGGGGGGGGGGGAAGTAATTTTCTAGAAAATTCCCTTCTCAAGCCAAACACTGAACACCCAGAAAATGATTTATGGAATCATTTTTCGGGTCTCCAATCGCACCTTTAGTATAATTGACTAATAATTATTATGATAATTATGCTAATAATCTATAAATACTTATTATTAAAAACAAATTCCTTCTTTTATTCTTGCCCAAACACTTCTTCCCAAACAATAGTAAATAGTAAAAGTAAATTAAAAAGGAACATAAGCTAAAAAAAAGGAATATAAATATGTCACAATAATATTCTACATCATCAATTAAAAATGGAACGAGAATTATATAAATTGGAAAATGAAATGAATATTAATAAATGATATGAAAATTAAAAATGGAAAAAAGAATGTAAATTAGGTTAATTGGAAAAAAAGGAAATAAAATTAATAATTGACTGAAAATAAAAAAGTGATCCATACTTGACTAAAATAGAAAAGGAAATGGTCAAATTATTGCATTTTAATTTTTCACAATTATATTACAGAGTAGAATAAATCAAATCACAATTATATCATAAATCTTTCAACAATTTCAAACCATGGAACGAAAAATATTTGAATAATAATATTCTACATCATCAAGTAAAGGAAAATTAAAAATAG